AAAGAAAACAGCAAGAAAAACAGGCATAGCAACAGTATTGTCCTCGTCCAAAAGATTCAAGAAAAAAGATGGGACAGCTACTTTAGTTCCGAGAAATACACCCATTATTATGATTTAGCTTTTTTTTGGCACCTCTGTTCTTATTGTTTGCTCTTTTGTTGCTATTGTCATCGTTGTTGTTGTTATCATAGGTTGTCATCTAATGCTAAAACTAAAAATAGAAGCTGGTGAGTATGTGTTTTTTAGACTATGTTGATGAGGTAATATTCTTCTTCGTTGCTTCCTCTTTTATTTGTCTCCCAAAGCCTCTGTATTCACTGTTCTCCGGATGAAACTACAACCTCAAAACAAAAGGAAAAAAAAGAAAACAAGGCCCTTTTTGATCAAAAGATGAAAAAAAAAACACAATTCATAATACAAAAATTGCGAAACATTTTCCTACTCAAAACCGAAAAAAAAAAAAGAAGAACAGACAGGAAGAACAATGTTTCAAAGGCAACAGGAGCCCCTCACTTATCATCGGTTGACACTGGAAGCTGTGTTGAAATATACAAAAACCCAAAAATAGTATTGCAACAGTCTTCCTTTTCGCTTTCTTTTCTTCTTCATTTTCCTCTCCATCTTTCTTCTCCCCGTTTGACTTCTTCCTTTTTCACTACCCTCCTAACTTCAGTTCTTCGTTTTTGTTTCATTTCTTTCTTCCATCCGAAAAATCAGTATTGCAAAAAAAACAATTTTTTTATCGACAAATTGACAATAAGTCCGAAAAAAAAAAGAAAACTGGGGCGGACAAGAAAGGAGGGTAGAAAAGGAGTCGGAGGAAAGGAACTGCAGAAGAAGCAAAAATGAAAGCGTTTATTCTGCCATCCACTTAACATATTACTATTATTCTTATTATTATGAATTTGTCGTTTTTTCTGGTTAGTTAAAAAAAAGAAATAAAAAGTCCTACATATGCTATAATTGACGGGATAAACTTTACAAATTGAAAGTATTTGTGTAGCACCTTAAAAAAGACTCCAATGTTGCGTATCAGACCAGTCTTTCTCTTCACATTTTGACCGTCAAATCCTCGTTCAGCGAAAACAATTTTCTTTCAAACCCTTTAATTTGCTCTCTTGTTTCATTCCCTGTCTAACGCCTTTCTTTCCCTGTTTATGATCATAAGGGATAGAAGAAAATAATGAGAAGGAGGGTGGCCCATCACACTTTTGTTCCTCCTTTCCCCTCTGAGGGAACAACAAGAAGACGGAGAAAAAAACCATAAAATTTTGCGAAACAATAGCCAAGTTAGTTGTGCTTTTATGTGTACAAGTTGATGACAGTTTAGAAAAGTGAAAGCGCAATAGAACTGTCCCTTACGATGGCAGTTACAGTGACAACGACAGCGAAGGCGAGGAGAATGAAGAGGACGAAGAGGACGTCGAAGGAAAAGGGGAGGACGTTGTTGATTAAAGCAACACTCATTTTGTTGTTATTTGTTGTTCTTAAGCGTTACGGAGTTTGTCATTAAATA